GCCGATTAAGTTTTAAAAATTCGTATAAAATCCATTTCTTGGAATATGAGTATAAAAATTTCCCAAAGGGTTAATAAGAGTGTCCTCTTTCCAATGAACTAACACGTTTTGAAAAATAACTTTTAGTTTTTTTTTTTTAAGTTTTGACAAAATTTTCGATGTTGCAATTTTCATTGATAATTTTCAAAATTCGCTACAAAATTAATTTCTTGAAGGATCCTTGTGGAAATATCAACAATTATTAATTAAAGTATCATCTTTTTAATGCAATAAGCCGTTTTGAAAAATCACTTTTAGTTCTTGAGAAATAAATTTTTGAAATAATCGACAAATTTTTCAATTTTTGCCGATTAAGTTTTAAAAATTCGTCCCAGAGTGTTAATAAATGTGTCCTCTTTCCAGTGAACCAACCCATTTTGAACTAAAACTAAAATTATAACTAAACCTCTAGTTCTAGTTGTTATTTAGCGTTAGATTGTTTTATATTTTTCATTGAACTAAAATTAGAATAAAACGAAAAAAGCGTTCTTCAAACAACATTTATTTTTATAAAAGTTTATTTCAAAGTTTTAAATAAATATATTATTAAATAATTATATTATCTTATTCTCATCATTTATTGTCTTCCATTATTTTGAACAAATTTCTTAACTTGTTGTGCAACTTGATTCGCAGATTGAATTGCGGGGATAACACCTCCTATTTGTTGCACACCTCCAATTAAATTATTTCCTGTTTGAAGAGAATTAGAAGGAATTTCCGAACTAATTTGACTCCCCAATGAATTTCCTGGTAAAGCAGAATTAACTCCATTCAAAGAATTGATTAGATTCGAACCAGATTGAACTCCAGGATTTCCAGTAATCCCAATGTTAGATATACTTGGATTAAGAGTAGTTGTTGTAGGTATCTTTGTGGTTTGTCGAAAAGGATTAAAAAAATTTAAAGCGTTTAGAATCGGACGATTTGCAAAAGGATTTAAACTTTGATTATTTAAATTAGATGGTAAATTTGGAGGTGAAGATGTTTGAGCAACTTGGTTATTTATTAAAGAATCAGCGATTACAGAATTAACTTGTTGAGTACTTGATTGTGAAGGAATATTTTGAGTACTACTTGATAACGAAGCTGGATTTGTTGTAGTTTGCCGAAACGGATTAAAATAATTTATAGCGTTCAAAATGGGACGATTTGAAAAAGGATTTAAGTTAGTTGAATTCAACACATTTTGAGTTTGAACAACTTGGTATGGTTGAGGGTTCAAATTGTTACTGACAGCATTTTGTTCTACACTTTGATTGCTTGTAGAAGTTGCTTGTGGTCTTGAAAAAATGTTGCTTATACCATTTTGTATTTGGGAAATTCCATTTTGGAAGAATCCAATGGGAGTTTGCGGTGATTGTTGTTGAGATACTTGCGATGTTTTATTATTTTGTGGATTGAGTTGGCCAAAAAAATTATTTGCGAAATTTTGAAATTGACTTACAATTGATGTCGAATTCGAACTTTGTTTCAATGCGTTGTTATTTTGCACCGATTTAAGAAAATTATCGATTCCTTCGTTGAAAGAATTCCATACGTAAGGTTCAACCACTTGTTGAGAAGACTTTAAGTTATTTTTAATTCTTTGGACACCATTATTTACAATCTCTCGGATGTTTGCATAAAGATTGTTATCATCGAATTGTTCTTGAATCGCATCTAATTTTTGTGTTTCTTCTCGAGTAATCTTATCTAAATTCCTTACGTAAACTCGATGAGTGACATCTCCATCGTAAATTACATTTGCAGGAATCTCATTGTTGAATACCAAAGCAGCTTTGGCCGCGGTTAAAACACTGAAGAACAAAAACCACTTGTATTGCATCTCTGGTTAAACTGATGCTCGGAAACTGTAAACGTATGGTTTTATACCCAACCCTTCTTTCAGATAATGCGAAATCCAACTGTAATAAGTATTAACGACCGGTTCATCCAGTTTTAAGTTCTTCTTGCTCCTAAAGGGATTCTTAAGATGGCTCAACGATGTAATTCGATTTGGTGGAAAAAAATCGATTTAGAGGTCATTGTAACTGTTAAATCTTAAACACCATTGGGATAAACCCACTATAAATCCCATAAAAGTGAAGGTTTCAACGGCACCGATAATGTATTTACGCTAATCTCGTGTAGCGGTTCTTCTCGATTCTCTTCAAACGGTCTGTGGTGGAGTCCGATTTCTTTCTCTGGCCTAACGATCAAATGCTGAAACAGTTAAAAGGTACCGCGCTCGTAAAACCGATCACTGAAAAAAAAAACATCTCCAGTATCCGCCGATTTATTGCATCAGGGGCACGAGGCAGGTGTGTTCTTCGTTCGCGCTGTCGACCGTAAAGGCCAATGACTTTGTCGCGGGATTCTGGTACCTCGAACTCTATTGATACTCAACGTACTAATTTCTTAAGCGAACAACGTTTTCTTAAGAAATTCATCGCACATGTTTGAACTTTGTAAATATTTTCCGGGGTGTGTAACGATTTGTATCTTGTGTTTGTTTGGAATAATCAATCTGCAGATTAAGAATACAGATATAGATACTTAGATACTTGTTACTGTCTTGTAACAATTCATTCATTCTCTTATCAGATCTTTGTCAGAATCCTTCTGATAATACAAATGATTATCTATACAGATTTTTTCTATAATCTTCCAAATCTTATTTTAATCCTAGATAGGAAAAATAATTTGAATTTTACCTTAAACATATGCAACCCAAATTACAAGTAATTTTAAAACCGTAATAAAACAATTATTTTAATTTATATATTATTCTCTTATTACGTTTGAGGTTCGCCATAATAAAAAGAATTTAAATTTATATAATAAATAAAAATTTAAAAATAAATAACAAAAAATATTAAAATGACTTTTAAAAGTCAACATAACCTCAAATTTAAACGTCATCCACACGTGGTATATAGTAAACAATTTTTTATTTAATTAATATCACTAATAACTTATTAAAAATGCCAAAAATAAAAACTGAGAAGAAATCAAGAATACACAATGAAGTTGCTAGACAAGGTAACACCATAATTATTTTAGAATAATCACTACATAAATAAATTTTTGTAGGAATTATGTTTAATAAGGACTTTGGCCAACATATTCTCAAAAATCCTATGATAATTACGGCAATGTTAGAAAAATCTGGTTTGCGATCGACTGATGTTGCTCTTGAAATAGGTCCAGGAACAGGAAATATGACCGTTAAATTAATAGAGAAAGTCAACAAAGTCATTGCTTGCGAAATTGATACACGGTTATTTTTGTCTTTGATCATATTAGCTTATTAAATAATTTAAATTGTTTACAGATTAGTGGCTGAGTTACAAAAACGCGTTCAAGGCACCCCCATGCAACAAAAATTACACATTATGGTTGGAGATGTTTTAAAAACAGAGTTACCTTTTTTTAATGTTTGCGTGGCAAATATCCCTTATCAAATATCATCACCTTTAGTGTTTAAATTATTATTACACAGACCGTTTTTCCGGTGTGCTGTTTTAATGTTTCAAAAAGAATTTGCTCAAAGATTAGTAGCTAAACCAGGTGATAAATTGTATTGTAGATTATCAATTAATACTCAATTATTAGCCAGGGTTGATATGTTAATGAGTGTAAGTAAAAAATGTGTAAATTAACAGTTTAATTTAATTTTTGATTGATTAGGTTGGAAAAAATAATTTTCGTCCACCTCCAAAAGTGGAATCTGCTGTTGTTAGAATAGAACCAAGAAATCCTCCACCTCCCATTCCTTACACAGAATGGGATGGACTTACACGGATAGCTTTTACACGAAAAAATAAAACTTTAGCTGCTGCTTTTAAACAAACTTCAGTTGTATTGACTTTAGAAAAAAATTACAAATTGTATTGTAGTTTACATAATAAGGTAAATTTATTTTAAAATACCTATTTTAATTAAAAAATTATGTTTGAGTAATTTTAGACTGTCCCTGAGGATTTATCTATTAAAGAAAAGGTTGAAGAAATCTTAAAAAGCATAAATGCAAATGAAAAACGAGCTAGGACTATGGATATTGATGATTTTATTCAGTAAGATTCTCGTTTTAATCTTAAATAATATTAAAATGTTAATTTGTTGCAGGTTACTTCTTGCTTTTAACAAAGAAGATATTCATTTCTCATAGAAAAAAAGATTCAAATTTTTATAGCTCTAATAACAATTTATTATGTTTAAAAAATATTTATAAATAAAATGATTAAGATTAAATTCTACAATAAAATTCAACATTTAATATAAACAAATATCTTTGGATCCATTATCTTCAATAAAACGAAACTTAATTTTAATTACTTTATTAATCAGTGTTTCGTCCTTTCAAGTTCTTCAAAGAATTTGATTCGGTTTCTTGTAATATCAGCAGGAAGTAATTCTTCATCTTCTTCATTTGTAGGTAAATTTTCTTCTTCTATAAAAGAATAAAATTTTGAATAAAAACATTTTTTTTTAGTCACCTGATTCTGATCAACATGTTTGGTTGATTAAATTTTAGAGTTATTTTTGAGGTCAACAATGAAAACATGGAATTTGTTATGAATTTGAACTATTACTACCTTCAAATTCATAACAAAGGAGTTTATACATACATATTAAACATACATAATATGTTTATGTGATGTCTTTAATTCATCTAATTCTCGCAATATTTAATTAAGGTGATGTTTTGTATGGACCATGTTTGACAGTGTTCATAGAAAGAGTTGAAAATGGGATTTAAAAATAAAGTTAGTTGTAAAATCTCGAGAATAAGACATGGGAAAAAAATTCTACCTATACTACCGCTACTATTCTTGGTGTTGTAGCTTGGGTTGGGATAGGTTGAGTTGGATTGGGACGCTTTTTTACTATGAAATCATTGTATTGTTGAAAAAGGGATAGCAACCAGCAGTAGTAAGCGACGTTGAGACTAAACATCAAAGACATTAAGAAATTACAGATTGTTTCTGCTTATTCTCAGAGAATAAATTTAGATTCAAGGAACGTCGAGGAGTTGTACAGCAAGCTGCGATTTTCATTAGCACACTGGAACGAGCTCAGAAGCAGAAAAGCGATTGATATGAGTATAAAAATATCCCAAATTGTTAATAAGAGTGTCCTCTTTCCAATGAACCAACCCGTTTTGAAAAATAACTTTTAGTTTTTGAGAAAACAATATTTGAAGTTTTGATAAAATTTTCGATGTTGCAATTTTCATCGATAACTTGCAAAATTCGCTATAAAATTAATTTCTTGAAGGATCCTTGTAGAAATACCACCAATTATTAATTAAAGTATCCTCTTCTTAATGCAATAAGACGTTTTGAAAAATTTCTTTCAGTTCTTGAGAAATAAATTTTTGAAATGCACCAGAATCTCATCTTTGGCAATAAATGAGATATTCGAGTATGTTGTTTGGAGCTTTCTGTATTAGCAGTTTCTCGAAAAGCGGGATCATAATATGTACGCTACTTTTTTTCTATCTCTTTTAGTTCAGGAGATATTTATAGCCTATGTGAACAAAGAATTTGAGACAACTGTATAGTATTGTAGTATTGTTTTTGGTTCTGATTTACTTGTCTAAAAAATCTTTCTCTAAAAAATCTAGAATACTTGGAATTAACAATTACTATTCTTATTAATTAGAGAAAAATGATTAAATAAAAATGACTATGAAATTGTTGTGGAGCAGTTTTTGCTTCAATATGCAAGATACAAGTGAAGAAAGAAATTAGAGAATGTTTTTTATTGGATTGATTTGTTGCAAGATTATATGTTTGGCATGATTACATATTTCGAAGAGGTCACTAAGTCATGTACACAATGTGCAATACATAATGTAATCCAGAAATGTCACCATTATTATTTGCTTATATGTACTTATTTGAAAAATTGGGAAAAAAATTTCCTCTTTACATCTATAGACATGAATGTTAGTTCCTGCTGCCAACAAGTTCTTCTCCAAAGACCAAATCATTTTGCTTTTCTTAAGTAAATAGGTTAGATTTTAAATTCTGCATATATTCCAACTCATCATCAGTTTTTTCCTCTGACACAGACCCCTATCTGCATCAGTCGACATGTTTAGGATAACATTATTTAAACAACTGGGGGTTTAGGGGCAGGAAGATTTGGAATGCTAAGAGACAATTAAGTTCAATTCTAATGAATGATCTTAACTAAGCAATACTAAGACAACTAGAATCGCTTTTTGCGCTACAAGTCTATTGACGTGTAAGGTATTCACGCCAAGCAGCAAGGATAATAAATAACAAACAGGATAAATTTTAGTTAAGATGGTAAATGAATTGAAGATGGAGGGCTCTATCTTTCCTGAAAACCCGGCCAGTTTGAAGTGGCAACAACAGAACAAGATAAAATCAACAAAACTTTTGATTTCAAGACACTATCCAACCTAAGGGAATCTTAGGGGAATACCTGTTGTTCAGAATCATTGCATAATAATATAATAATTAAATAAATAATAAATACCTGTTTTAACAGATAAATCTTCATCATTTTTTAATTGTTGAGTAATACTTTTGGGTAAACTCCTCGCCGTTAAACTGTATACATTAACAACATCCTTCTTTACTTCGAGGATTTCCTAAATAATACAACAAAATAACAAAAAAAATTAATCTAAATTTAAAAAATATTTACCTTTGGTTGACGATCAAATATTTTTTTCAAATTTTGTACTGAAGGAATATGATTAAATTGATTATTTTCATCACATCCATTTTCTTCTAACTCAACTTCATTCAAATTTTCTCCATGTTGAACAATATTTTCCAACGAGATTTGTTTTTTAATTCCCATTTCTTCATTTTTCTTTTGCGGAATCAATGCGACGTTAGAAATACTTTTTGAGTATTTTCCCAACAAATCCTTCACAAGCTTTTTTTCTTTCAAATCGATAATTTCCGGATCAGTTTCTAAAGCACTTTCAGGTCTTGAAGCATCATCCGTGATATCGGTGGAATACTCTAAACTAAAATCTTTGTTTTCGAATGATTCTTCTTCGGAATAATCCGACGTTTTCGTTGCGGGTTTATCATCAACTAAACTTTTAACTTCCCCGAAATATTTTGCGGGGATTTGGGGATAATCTTTCATTTTTAAAACGAAATCGAACTCTTGAACTAAATTTTTATCCAACGTAACATCAATTTCATCGTGTTCGTTTTGATTTTTTTGGTCGTTAATAAGATTGTATTCGTGAGTTTTATAAACGATTTCTTTGGTGTTACTAAATTCGTTTGTGATATCATCGAATTTGCTGAGGCTTTTTTTTAAACTTGGTGCTATATCTTCTTTTAATTGGTTTCTTTCAAATCCGTTAGAAATAGATTCAAATTCATATGGCACATCTTCAATAATAGAAGCGGGGGTTGCTACGATATCTTCGATAATCGGTGTACTTTGATCACTTTCTATGGTCAACGACCTCAAAAATTCTTGTTTTTGTTCTTCGATCGATAGCGATTGATTATGATTTTCATCGATTGGTTCATCAAATTCCTTTTTTATGTATTTTAACCCTTCGGGGCTTGTAGAAGGATTACTACTCACCGAAAATTCTTGAGTTACACCCCCTGAGTTAACCGTCATCGTTCCAGTTTGTGGATTATAAATCCTTTCGATACTCATATCCGAATCGCTTGATATATCCAAACGATTTGGTCTAAGTGAAGTTATTGTTGCTGAAGATTCACTCATTGATGGGTATTGCTGGTCTTCTTCTTGATATATTACCGCAGGAACTGCTGTGACTAATGTTTCATCGTCAAGTTCGTACCCGCGTATCTATGTAAAATAAAAAAAAACCAACGGTTAAATAATGAGGTATTTACAACTTTCGCGGCTGTATATGTAGATAGGATTCCGGCGTATTCGATAGGAATAATAAGTATTGTCTTAGTCATGGAATGTTCAAGGCGCATTAAAAATAGGTACGTGGTTTGTTGAAGGATTTTGCACGTGATTAACTAGATTAAGAACAGTGTTATCTTTTGATAAAACTGTTAATACTTTTAGTTAATTCGTTTATATAAAAAAATAAACATTGTAATTTCGTGTTTTTTGGTAAAAATGATACCTTATGAGTGAAATTTTAATTTAAGCAGTAAAGGAAATGCAAAAATTTTATCATAACGATGATGAGAGGAAATTGTTAATATTATTTAGCGATAACAAAAAATTGTTAAGATAACACAGTAATAATTGATATGATTGATGTTTATTTAAGATGAATTTAGCTTTATCTCTCATGTGATTTACAAGTTGTCTTTTGATGATAGATAAAAAAATAAGCATTTGAGTATTGTTAGTATTGCAACCTCTCCAATGACTTAAAAAACGATAACTTACCAAATTTTCTATCAAAAATGGAAAAAAACGAGGTACACGTTTATTAATTAATAAAATAATTAGTTGTAAATTTGAATTTATTTTAACAATATCAACAATACCCAACACAATACATCACAGTAGCTAATTAATTATTTATTAAAATAAAATTTATCACCCCCCTCTCTAATTTATAACGTTTTATACTGTTCGTTAAAATGTAACAAGGGATTTTTAGCGAAATTTCTACTTGAATTTCTCGGCGAATACAACCTTCTGGAAACACTGTGGTGCAAAAAATTTCCTTCTAAAGACGCCAAAGTTTCCTTTAAACTTACCTCCTCAGTAGCCGCAGCGTAATCTTTCTTACTAATTCCCGCGGATCTAGACGCTTGTCGTATATAATAATCTCTTCCAAATCTACACAAAACCAAAAACATACAATTAATAGAACGTCAAAGAAAATCTTTTTGTGAAGTTTTATTGTCTACCTGACATTTTTATTTCTGTCAGCGGCAAAAACTTCAGCTAACGTTTTTCCCATCGCACAAAACGCGAACTTGATACAGTTAATTGACGCCGTCGGGACTAAATAATCGCGATACTTATGTTTCGCGTTTAATTCTTATTTCGATACTATTATCTAAATTATCAAAATGATAACGTAACATTCCGTTAAATTTGATTACGTTATAAACAATCGATAATAATAATTATTAGAGCGATAGGATTCAATTGAACACGTTCTTTTATTTTTTCAGGAAAGTTTCAAAACATTTTAACCTTATCCCAAATTTAAAACAGATCTAACATTTACGTTTAATGTCGTGGAGGCAGGTATTAGATATAACAAAGGTATAAACAAAGTACTTGAATGGTTTATTTGGAAACATTAGAATTGTCTACACATTCTTTAAACTCATTCAATACCTACTATACCAAAATCAGATTCGGTTAGTGCCTGGAAAGATTTGAGGCTCATTGCAATATGGTTGATGATCGCAAGGGATTAAGCAACCTCAACCTAGGTTGCTTAATTATAGGATATTTTAATGTATTACTGCATCGCTGAACCAAATGGATTGTGCATTGTATCAAGATAAGCCACCAAACGAATCCTTGATTCCACCAACAGTTTTCATAATACAACTTATTAAATATTTTTAATGTGGATTTCATAACTATTTCCGTGGGGGTTTATTATTAGCCCACCGTTATACACTTTACTTATTACACACTTGCAATCTAATCTCGGAAATTAACACTTGATTAACATCTTTAATACACAGATAACCAGAGATATCCAGATAACCAATACCAGCTATTGAGCGTCAAAGAAAATACTTGTCACATATCATTCTTGAGTATATCAATGCACAAGTATGCTTCTATGGGAAAATTCAAAGGGATAGAAAAGTGCATCTATTTGACAGTTCTTGGAAACTTTCAAAATCATTAACGTTTCTTGAAAACTATCAGAAAATGCATGGAAATACTTAAAAAATCTCTCAATTCCTAAGAAAAAGTTCGGAAATTAATTGGGAATGGTCGTCAAGTTCTTGGAAATGGTTTAAGACTCGTTGTTAATGCTGATTCATCTCAAATAAATCCCTGGAGCCCTTTGACATTTCTTGGAAATGATCAGGAAATGCATGGAAATGTGTTGAAAATCTTTTAGAAAATCTCTAACATCGTAAAATCCAATTCCACTACTTGGAAATCTGTTGAACTCGCTTTTGCATGATGATGGCAACTACAAAATTAGGTTTTATTTAAAATATTAAAATTCTTACATTTTCTAACCAAGGCACACATTGATTTTGTGAGGTAGTGACGCTAAAAAGCCAGATAAAAGGAAACGCCTATTCTATGTACAAATCAGCAACTAGAGGAAGTTATGACAATTCACAATGAAAGAAAAGTGCTGGTAAGAATGTTGTGAAGAATGTAGGGCAATTCGCAATAAAACAAAAACGCTGGAACGGAAACAATCTTCTTGCTGCAGTGGGAAAAGTTCTCAAAAGAACTGAAATATGATTTTAGTATGAAAATTTCCTAAAGTGTTAATAAAAGTGTCCTCTTTCTAATGAACCAATCCGTTTTCAAAAATAATTTTTAGTTTTTGAGAAAACAATATTTGAAGTTTTGATAAAATGTTCGATGTTGCAATTTTCATCGATAATTTTCAAAATTCGATATAAAATTAATTTCTTGAAGGATCCTTGTGGAAATATCACCAATTATCAATTAAAGTATTCTCTTTTTAATGCAAAAAGCCGTTTTGAAAAATCACTTTTAGTTCTTGAGAAATAAATTTTTGAAATTTTGCAATTTTCGCCGATTAAGTTTTAAACATTCGTATAAAATAGATATGCCGGATATCCGGCCGAAGAGGATACCGAATATCCAGTATCCGGGTTTTCGCAAAATCACTATCCGTTCCATCACAATTTATAATGAACCAACAAATCGTTATTCAAAAGTTATTATAACCCAACTATGCCCATTACTAATTTAAAAGATTTTAAAACCCAAACATCTCAGATTTGACACATTCAACAAAATTATCTTTAACTCAAAAATAAAAAATTATTATTGAAAATGATATTAACAAAAATTATATATAATAAATCGCAATAATATAATCCATAAATGATTTCATTCCAAGTATTTCACATTAGTAGATATACGCCATAAAATGTCTAAATCTCTAAATTGGCATTTATGGATAACAAATTATGTTATAACTCAAAAACTAATTAACTGGAGTGGTTACACTTAACTCTCTCGTATTTTTTTACTGATAAACTAACAAAATTTGTAAAACGTCCATCAAAAGATGATAGAGTATTAAATTTCGAGAAGTACAGTAATTTTAAAAGACCCATTTTATACTATTTTCATCAATCAATATTTAAATCAGTTATATAACTTATTTAAGTGGTTTTATAACGAATATTAATATTAATTCATTGATTTACTTACAAAGAACTGCTTGTTGATGATGAATTACTTAATCGCCTTTCTAAATTTTCCGGTGAATATGGATTATTTTTCAAATCAACAGCATGTTTCCACTTTTCTTTTTCCTTCTTACTATAAGAACCTAAAAAATAACTTTTTAAATAACTAAATTATAATTATCGCTTCATTTACCTTCAAAAGCAATTAATTCTTCACTGATAGAATCCCCATTTAATTCAGACTTCTCTTGAATTCCATTTTCTTTAAAACCGTTTGATATAACTCCAGGAGTTTTCATTTCTTCCACTTCAATATGACCATTTTCTTTTGTCTCTTGATTAATTTTAGCTTTCCTTCTTGAAGCGTAAGTTCTTGGCACTGGTTTGGGTTCTTTAACTATAGTTCTAGGTAAAGAAGCGTATTGCTCAGTGTATTCCGTATCTTTTTCTGTTTGACTATCGATTGATAGCAATGATACGTCCTGAGTTTCTTCGCTCACTAAAAAAATATTTAATGTAATCGAACTAAAATAATTAATAAAGAAAATTTACCTAAATGAGCTACTTCAAAGTTATCAACTTCACGATGATTTAACCCATTTTCTTTTATAACAGAAACAGTTTTTTCTCTTTGTTCAACACCGTTTTGATTATTGGTGATGTCAGCGACCACTTCGACGTTTTCAAGAACATTTTTACCCCCGATTATGGTTCTTGAATTGACTAGAATGTGTTTTATATCGGGTACAACTTCAGCTTCTCCATAATCTGATTCAATATCGGATATTTCACCAGCTTCTTTATCTCCAATATAAACTTTAGCTTCTTCGATCGGATTTGGAACCAACATTGGTACAGGAACTGGAGAATTGCTACTTCTTAATTTCTTTTGAAAATACCAATTTTCACTCCACGCATCTTCAGCTTCAAGGCTATTTGGATTTGATTCTACGTCCGATATCTCATCACAACTTGAATTATTTTCATTAATATGTTGCTTAATCTAAAAATTGAAGTTAATTAAAAAAATTTATATTAATTAATCTTTAAAACTTGCTGTTAATGAAATTCGATCAACGTATTTAGCTGATCCAATACTAGAATCACTCCTAACCCACTCATCTAGACTAGAAACCGACGAGGTATCATCATGTTGTTCTTCGGGATTATCGATGTTCCTCCATTTATCGTCCAAAGTTTCTCTAGAAAAGAAAATATCTTTTCCATTCGTACTCGGAATCGTTCTTCTTGAAGCCCGACTTGAGACACTATCCGAATTCGATCGAGCACCATTTTGACTACACTGAACCACCTGAAACGAAGAAAATCTTTTTTTATATGTGTAAAGTTCTTCGTGAGGTTTAGTTTTATGATGCACCAGAACTAACGCCATATTTAATTCTTACTCGAAATACTCTGATTGCTATCGATTTCATACGAAGCCATAGATTTCGAATGGGATTTATATTTATTAGATTTACGCTCCTATTAGTACTTGAACTCGTCATTTTAATTGAAGAACTAATTGAGAAATGAAGTGGAAGTCGTTAAAAAATGTTTTTGATAATTTTATGGAATTTTTTTGATAATGATTAACTTTTTATTGTCTAAAAGAAAATTTAGATATATTTGATTATGATTAAGTTATCTACATATTTTAGTTAAAATTAAAAATCGATTTAAACAAAATTCCAATTGAACTCGAGAATGTCCGTGACTAATAAATAATTTAGCCTTTCTACTACTTTACCTACATCGTCATTTCGACCTTTCGAACAACAAAATTTTCTATGATTAAAGTAGTTATCGACTCAATTTCCTCTTTGACGACATTAATAATCATAATATTTCCTTTAACTAACCCACAAAGTCCAACGGCGTGAAACGATCGAATTTTCCGCGTGGACAATAACAGATAATAAATATAATTGCCGTAACGAAACGTCCTTGTTCGATTTCCTATCGCTCGGCTAGACATCTAAATAATTACACTTATTACTCAGAAACACGTGCAGTTAATTAAACTTACTTTAGTTTTAGATTAACAAAAAAGTAATGTTAATGACCATTTAAAAATGTTCTTGAGGTTTCATGTTGTAATACTTCAATGAATTAGGTAACAATCGATACACACTTTTAGAAACGAGATAAAACGAGAAGTGTACAAAGATTTTATCCTTAAAGAGATAATGCAACCGAATGATTTTCGAATTTTAATCAAAACATTAAAAATTAAAATTACCTTATTTATTATGGCTGTGGATAACAAATCTTCATAAGTCCTATCAGAAACTTCTTCCTCTGGGACAGCTGGATGATTTTGAATTCTTTTTAATTCAGGTAATTCCCCGGCTTCGCTGCTAAATCTCTGAATAAGTTGTTTTAAAGTTGCATGGGCTGTACAAGGAGATTGTCCAGTAATTGGCAAATCTATTTAAACAACACCATCATCAGCAATTTGACTCTCAATGATTTTCAAAAAAATTAATTGATTAATGATGCTAAATTATACGGGTTTTCTATGAAAAAGCAACAAAACATAAAATGAATGTACAAAAAAGAACCTTGCACTTTGAACTTTAAAAAAAATTATTTGATAATGTCTAAGTAATAAATTGGTTATAATGAGTAATGACGTAAGTTAGTAAAGTTATTAATTTTGGTTGACAAGGAGTTGGATTTAATGATTTTTATGGATGATATTCCGGTTTGGTGTTTACATTAAAAAAATAATTAGATATTTATTCTTCGTTTGCTTTAATTCAACGTTGTTTTAATTAATTTTTGTTTTCTTCTTGTTAGTAGATGTTTTGCAGAAACTTTTTAACTGAATTAAATTTGAAATTAAAGATCGAATTCGAAGTATAGTATGTAGAATGATTCTTCACCTGTTCTTATATCTGCGAATTTTTGCAACGACTTTCACACTTTGTTATTAAAAATATGATTCCCGATTTCTTGTTGAAGTCTGGAACGTGGCCAAAAAAGTTTCGAACTTTTTCTTGCAATTTAGAACTTTGTCACAAAAGTCCAAAAATTTTGCAATAGTATAACAACGTTCGTTTTTGTTGCATGAATGTGAAATTTTGCACATATGTTCGTCAAAGGATTGCTTTGTACGTTTTCAGGTAATGGTGTGCCACGATTTTGAGATTGAGCCAGGCCGTTCTAATCAATGCACAATTCATCGTTATCGGCAGACCGGTAGCATCGAGGATCTTCCCAGAAATAGAAAACCAAAGACTGCCGTGACTCCCACCATGGCCAAACATGTCCGAGATAAAGTCCACCAGAATTCTAAGACGAGTCTTAAAAAAGTGATAGAGGAACTGAATATCAGCCGAGAATATCCCCACAGAATCGTCAAACATCTTTGGAGCATCATAGCAGGAAGATGTAAAAGAATCGCATTTTGACAGAGTAGATATATTTGACAGAATTCTTTTAGGAATAGTTCAGAAAGCGAATAAGCGAGGTTGCTACATTTCCCGAAAAGGTCATGCCGCTTAATTCATGATTTTTGCTCCTCTTTTTTCTGGATCAGGGGGTCAAGATCAACTCACAGAACTAGATTCTGATAAAGGAAGTACTTCCTTGGAGTTAGTTTTGCTTCAACGGACGGTTGTGGTCATTCCAAAAGGATTAAGTGTCTGTAAAACGCTAGTCTGAAGGCATCTAGAAGACCCTTCAGCATGCATGGGACGATTTCGACGTTCGTGGATACTTCGAACTTTGATTGTGAACCCTATTAATCTGAGGAAAAAGCAATATTCCAAAGCGATAAAATACGTTATTCAAGTATTTGAGAATATCAACCTCGGCTTTTGAACTATTACATAGTCATTTGAAAAATGTTGTGCAGCGTCAAAATGACAAGTTTCTTAGATTTCGGAAATGTTAGCGGTACGGCCAAATAAATTTGATAAACTACTAATCTATAACAAATCTACAATGTAATCTCTTACGACTTTCTGTAGCACGATCTTTTTGTCAAAAAATAAAGCACCCTGTTTTGTATTGGAACACACACACTTGCGACAAAAAAGTTGCAAGCGGTCCTATTTTTGCTCAGGAGGATTTACTGAGTCTAGTATTTTAGTATGCTATTGTTATTACAATGTTATATCCGATAGTATTGAGAAAACTTCCTCGAATATTCTACGAAATCATGATGAATTTGATGAAATTGACTTTTAAGCAATCTTTGATACACAAGTGGATGTGCCAAATATTTTTTGCGCCGTTTTCTAGCTTTCATTCGTAATAATAAGGCCATCACACAAGTGGACTTCACAAAACCCATTATGTACTGATTAAAGCAAATGCGACATATCTTTCACTTTATGGCTACTGCGATTTTTTTATTTCTGCTACAAAAAGTCGTAAAGTGTGCTAAGCCTTATAGAGAAGTATTATAACCATAGGAATTAGTTGACGATTGTTTAATAATGGCGATGAAATTGATCTCGTTCTCCACAAGTGAGGTACAACTTGCTGAGTTTGTGATAATGCACATATTTGTATAGTTTGGTGCTATATTATATAAGTTATATCAAGAATGTTGGGTTGGGTAAGATTTGGCAGAAAATGTCAAAATCTTCAGTGGGTTTTTGTTATATTTTTGTGCATTTCTATACACAACTTTTTGTAATAAAAGTTCTGCCACTAATTTTTAACTTTCCTTTCGTTCAGTTTTTGCATTTATAAAACTTCTTTCTTGTACTACTTCATTTTTAATCCAAGTATCATTAAGCAGTTTCTTTAGTTTTTCGAATATAGGATTAAAAAAACACGCACAACCTAACTCTCTAGGTTCCAGGCACAATAATGGTTATGCTCTAAGGTACCAATTTTGAAAAAGTTAAAATTATCAGAGGAAAAATGTCATCCGCTGCAATGTATGCTAAGTCATCATACTTTTTTGACAAATTTTACTTGATACAAAAAGGTATATTTAACTTAATACGCTTATACCGTCTACACTGAAGCTGGATCATCGAAAATATGATAAAAGAGGAAGTTGTGAAAATTGTTCTGTCAAAGCTAGACCCCACTCAAAATGTACTGCGTGCAATGTTTATTTATGTTGTAATGAAAGAAAGAACCATTGTGTCACAAGAAAGTGACCATTCTGTCACAAAGTTTCAAAATTTTTGACTTATCCTCTTCAGAAATCAATGACAGTTTAACATCATAACTGTATCTCATTGAATGTAACAAAATTTTACTACACTTATATACATGTTCAAGAAGCTCAATTTCCCCTTTAAGTTATAAATGTTTTAGAAGTAAAAAATACAAGTTTTTATCTACGAGATTAATCTTAAAACAATATTTAAGTCAATAAATTAATATTTAAGTCAATATTGCTTAAATAATGACACACAAGGATACAAGCCTAGAAAATAAAAATTAAAATGTTCAAAACAACCTGATAACAAACAATATTATGTGTAAACTTAATACTTGAAACAATTAACATAAATTAAGTAAATTAAGATTCTTGACAAAGAAAATAATATCATTAAAAACAATGTTCTTTTTAACTCACCTAAAACAACTTCAACAATATAATGAAAATAGTACATAGCTGTACTAATAGCAATCCAAAATCCAAGAAAATAGGCGATAAAAAATCCAGAAAACATATTTGCACAAAACTCGTACATCACCAACATTACATACAGTCACGAAACGCGTAACAAATTGAATTTGACAAAAAAACACTTTTCAACTCGGTTAACGTGAGTGTTATCGTTGTTGTTATCGCGATCTGATTAATTTACATATCTTTGATTCTATCATCGCCGCAGCTAAAGGTAAACTGACGATGAATAAACCGAGACTAAAAGTAAATAAGAAAAAGCGTTGTTTACACTTTGACTCGGGATGCATTTCTAGTGAGGAATTCCTCGGTTGTGCTGCGAGAAAATAAGAGGAATAAACGTCTTATTGTATAGTATAGTACGGGTGAGATACCTCAAAGATAAAAAGTACTGTATTTCCCGGGGCAGTAAGAATCGAAAACGGTATATACAATCGGTGTTGAATGAGCAAGACTTCACAAGATCCGTTGGTTTAATTTAGAGAATTTGATTAACGGAAAATTCTTGGTAACGATCATAATTAAACGAAAAACGTTAATTAGAAATCGTTAAGATATTGTAAATAAACTTAACATTTTCAGTTGGGAATGTTTATTCTTAACTTTTAACTTTCTATATGAACTAATAGAGAATATGTAGTTGGAAATCACAGTTTCCTTGCTCCGGGCGAGACGAGTAAATAAAATCTCTGAATGACTTTATGCGGAAGAAAAGAGGTAATCAAGCTTTCTTTAATATCTTTTTTGAGTTGATGGAAGTTATGGCTAATCGTAATTGGTGAAACTGTAATTGCAAAGGAATTGCTAATATCTTTTTACTTAATAGTGCTAATTTGATATTGTGGGTTAAAAACTGTTTAAATTGAACCTTTCACAAAGTTAGATCATCTTGTATTGAAACTACATAAATATATATGTTAAATAAATAATTGCACAATAAAATATCTCTGAATCAGTTTTTTGTAATCGTTTGTAAGTAGAAATCTATATATAGATTTTATTAAAAATAATGATTCATAAGATTATATAGTAACGAAAAACGATTTACCAAATAAGTTGTAAATCATAACGTGAAAATAGCACGTTTTAATAAATAACATGTTTTTATATGGACCTTAACGCTAAATAACTGCATCAAGACTTATTTTGTCCACATTCTCCTTCGATTTTGATTAAAGTTAGTTACTTTTAGGTAAATATGCAATGAACTCAGTGCAGAAGAGAATATTTATTAGTGGTGGAAAGCCAGTTTTAAAAATTCGTATAAAATCCATTTCTTGGAATATGAGTTTGAAAATTTTCCAAAGTGTTAATAAGAGTGTCCCCTTTCCAACGAACCAACCCGTTTTGAAAAATAACATTTAGTTTTTGAGAAAACAATATTTGAAGTTTTGATAAAATTTTCGATGTTGCAATTTTCATCGATAACTTTCAAAATTCGCTATAAAATTCATTTCTTGAAGGATCCTTGTGGAAATATCACCAATTATTAATTAAAGTATCCTCTTTTTAATGCAAAAAGCCGTTTTGAAAAATCACTTTTAGTTCTTGAGAAATAAATTTTTGAAATGATCGACAATTTTTTCGAATTTTGCAATTTTCGCCGATTAAGTTTTAAAAATTCGTATAAAATCCATTTCTTGGAATATGAGTATGAAAATTTCCCAAAGTGTTAATAAAAGTGTCCTCTTTCCAATGAACCAACCCATTTTGAAAAATAACTTTTAGTTTTTGAGAAAACAATATTTGAAGTTTTAATAAAATTCTCGATGTTGCAATTTTCATTGATAATTATCAAAATTCGCTATAAAATTAAGTTCTTGAA